TAGATCCAGAAATTACTCTCTGCAACGTCACAAACTCACAAACTTTACCTCTTTATAATATTAGTAGAGATGTACGTAATATCAAAGATATATGATAATAGTATACCTCAGTAATACACTCAATACAACCACGAAATCAACTTAAGCCTAACATTCATCAAGCGTCTCTTCACAGACGCGATTAGCGTTCATCATCTGTCGCCTACATTACGCCTCGATCGGTCGATGTTTGACATCTGCTGAGTTTAACACTTAACAAGGACGTCAATCAGTTTACTTTACCTATTTGCAACTTGAATCATTTGGAACATGTGTCGTTTGTTCTTAGAAACTTTTTTTTCGATATCAATTATAACCAATAATTCTAATATTGTACAATCAAAAAATATTTTTATCCACCAGTCATTGTTGAAAAGTCAAATTTATGGGAAATAATGGTTTTTGGCATCCCTTAAAATGATTTTTATGTAAGAAATTTCAAAAGATAAGTATATTTCGAGAATTGGTAATTTTCTTTCACTAGATACCAAATGTGTAACGTATTACAATATATTCGTAAAAAGCAGGAAAATATTATAAGACAAAAGTCCAATTTTTGTGGACTTTCTCAGAAATTCTTATTTTCAATGCACAGAAATCACAAAATCCTTTAGTAGAAATGAAACCTTCGTGAAAATAAATCCTCATAGCGGAATAAGACGTAAAAAAGTGCACAATTTTAGATCCGAGACGTCGTAGTGAGAATGCGATGAGTTAGTGAAATATTCACATTTATTCAGATTATCTGCGCTTACTAGAACTTAATTTGGTTTATTGCTTCGATATTCCTTTAGTTAATGATTCATAAAATGAGAAACTATGTTAAATTGCAAATGTTTAGAATAAAGTACTTGATGCTATTAATAAAATAAAATATAATAATAAATGCAAACATCAATACAAAGTATCGTGAGATATATTTTATTAATTTATATTGTAGTAAACTAAAGAAAATTAAAACATAAATAAACAGACACAATAAAATCAAATTATTCTTCCTCTTGACAATATTTGATGTTTGCTTTATGTAAATTTTTAAAGTTCTTATTACTAACATTGTTTTGGATTTGGTGTAAATGCTTTGTCAACGATTCAAATAACAATACGTCAGATCTAAAGCTTACATCTCCTGAAACTCACAAAGCCTAAACTTTTTCAATTTGGCATTTGTATAACATTGAAAGATCTTTCAGTGTTAGTCGTTCTTTTGAGAGTTTCCATTTCTTTTTTTTTTCTTTGATTCCACAAACAGGTAAGAAGTGAGAATTAAAAGCGACACTGTTGATCAAAGGAATTACAAAGCTGCCAATATTTATCGCCTCTGAGTCCCGAGCTTTAAAGCACTATTCAGGTCTTTTATTGGCGTTTATAAAACGTCTTGCTAAAATAAGTTTGTATTTAAATCTCTTTGCAAATTTATATAGACTTGGTCCCTTTTGCATTACTGTAGTCAATTGAGGGCACATAAATTTGAAAAACTTTATGAAAGTTCCTCGTACAAGTTAAAAAACTATTTACCTTTACTTTGCACACTTTAACTTCTTGGTTTCGAGTTTTCTCAGATTCTATTCGACGTATATACTTATATTTCGAGGTGATTGGCTTCAATATTTATATAATATTTGGGAGACTAATTTTAGAGTTTCATATATAAAATTTATATGTAGTTCAGATTTAGAATGGTCTTGAAATGTAATTTTAAAATAATAGCATTGACTCAAACCAATCCCTTTGAAATGTACATCATAGAGATCTATCTGATCGGGGAAGTTACGTTGGGTTTTGTTTTTTTCTGGCTGGTGAGTCCCACATAACATCTACGTATGCATGCATAAAAGGATTTCCCAATGTTAAGAAAAATCATAAAAAGAATCGATAGGATGATTGTAAGAGTCACAACTAACAACATTTAATCATTTTCTTCATTGATATTATATAAAAGATTATATTAATGCCATTAGTCATCACTCCTGACAGGACATAATCATCTGAGATTCCAGCTAAAAAAGGTGTTTTAGCTGGAATCTCAGATACTGAGGTCGGAACTGGAATCGCTTATTAATCGAATGTCAAAAGCAATTTTTTATCACATGAATTTTATATCATCTTGATAATTATACTATAATTTGATACGAGAGACAAATAGTAGAACTCTTCAATAGCTAATAAAACCTTAAAATTTTAAATCTTTTCATTTGTTTTAACGTGTACCATATATGTAGTACAGTTAGTAAAAAGCGTATTTTTTATAGTTTTTTTTATAAATGAACAATTATTATTATTCGGCATTGGCAACATCAAGAATCACATATAAGTTATAATAACAAGAAAATATGAGTGCTCGGCGCTTACAACTTTCCTCGTTATTTTGTTATTATTTATGTTTCGAGGGTAAAATGACTATCGTATATTCTGCTTGCCGTTTATAATAAATCGATTAATAAGCAAAATAAATATTTATGGCTATTGACTTTTAAGCCGCGTTCCATTTTGTATTTTTATGCCACGGATTAATCTAGCATTAACAGGTGTACCAGAGCATAATATGTATCCAATATGCTGTAAAACTTGACGAAAATTTAATAATGTAAACACTTACAAATAGTTTAACCCATAATGATATACATGACATGCACCACGTAAATTTAAGTTTTTTATCTACTTTAATTTTCTTTTAGCTGTATTTATTAAGTTAAAGTCCAAGAAACTTCTTACAGCATCTAAAATTCTCTCAAATGCCCCACTTCGCAGAATGGACCGATTGCCTCTTGAAGAACCAAGTCGAATAGACCTTACCATAAAAATGTATTTAAACTATCGTTGTCTGAAATTGTACTCGTATTTATAGTAAGTTACTCTTTTCCTTAACCAACCGAAGTTTATACAGTGTATAATCTACTTAAAATTTAAAGATGATGTTAATAATTAGATTTTTGATTTGACCGACCGTTTCGACCGCTGGAACAGCAAGTACACACTACAACTGCGCCAAACGTCAAATCATTGTTGTTTCTTGTAGATTAACTGCTCAACGCCAAGTAAATATAACTAGTGTTCGCCCAGTTGTCGAAATTTGACCCTAATCACGTTTTTTATTTATACTAAAAACATAAAAAAAGAAAATCGGCTAACAAACATTAACACACAGCACCATCTAGTTCCATGGTAAGCTACGAAGCTTGTGTTATGGATACCAGATAGTTGATAAACTGCACATATATAATTTTAAATACATACATATTATAAATATAAACACCCATGACTAGAGTACAAATATTCATGCTCATCACACAAATAAATGCCCCCAGCGGGATTCGAACCCGCAACCGCTGGCATAGCAAGTAGAATCACTACACAACAAATATTTATATATGTTTATGTATGTATTTAAGTAGACGTATACATATGTGAATTGTACATACATTTACAAATTAAGATGATATAAATGATACAGATATAAATGATACAGAATGCAAAACTAGAACTAAATAATGAGTTTCACACATTTTATTATTTCCAAAAATAAAAAAAATTACCATGAATTGTACGTAATTTGTTTTCTTAAGAAAAAGAAAACACGCTTTCTTTCTTCGCCAATAAATGTGACATTTATAAATTCTGTATATTGTGTGGTTGCGAAGGAAAAATAAAAATTGACCGAACAATAGCTTTTCGGAGGAGTGAATAGGCTATTTTCTAGGCACTTCACCTTCGACCACGCCATTAAGTTTTACAAGTATTATCTAACGTACATAGATTGCTATCCCACTTTTAGAAATATTATATTACTTAAGTATTTTTATCCTGGCAATTAAAGTATGCTTGATTTTTTTTATTTAATCTTGAAACTCAATTTTGTTGTTTTATATTATTATTTATTATTCTATTCTATTTTTTCTATTCTTTTTTTATTTATTTTTCTTTACAAAACATGACAAAAAATTAGAATAATGTTGTAATTGTAAAAAAAAATCAGCAAGCTCTAAGCAGCTATTGTCAGTTTATACATTTAATTACAGGGGTCATATACAATTAAGTTACGGTAATTGTTAAATTACATTAAATGGACAAAAAATAACAACAATAAAATTCAGATACAAATATTTCTTGTGTTTATTATCATATTCTTCATTGTTCACTACTGCCAATATAGTATGTTTATCAATACATATAATAAAACTGTAGAGGTCGAATGTCTATACATAGAAAAAATGCCATAACCCTGTCGGGGGGATGTAAGAAGAGAAATAAAACAAATCCAGATTTTTTTTTCATTTTTTTGTTTCTCTGTCTGTTTGTCTGTTTGTACGGGCTAGTCTCCGAAACAGTTGGACCGATTTAAATGAAATTTTGCATGGTAATTATATCTCTTTTTTTATCCCTGATTAATATTTTAAATACTTTTCATTCCGGAAAATTAAAGAGTTCCCGTGGGATAGTTAAAAAACTATAGTAACTTATACAGCTTAGTACTCAACAATTTATGCACCTAATTTAGTAAAATTTGGTATGCTGATACCTTATATTACCGGTCAAACAACAGGTTATTTTTTATCCAGGAAAAATGAACGGTTCCCGTGGGATAGATCTGTTTGTATATACATATAGATTTCCTTTCTAGAGTATCATATACATATAAGTAGCATATATTCATCATATCATAGCATTTAATAAGGACAAAGTAACAAAAATTTTGTATAATAAATAATAATATTAGTAAAATTTAATTTTTGTATATAATTAATTATAAATTAACATAAAAATTGAAGATTTCATTTCAGGTACTATAATTTAAAAAGTGCTAAGTGACGTTAAATAAAGACTATGTAAAAATAATCGTCAGACATTACTATTTATAGAATGTTTGTGGACCAAAAGTGATTGTTTGTGATAAAACATACAGATAAAATAAATACGGTGAGTTATATGTACGTGCGTAATGATGTGAAGAACCAGCCGTGATGTGGCTTCCGGCGCTAGTGTACCTTCTGGGCAGACTGGGTGAGTGATATACTCTTTAAAATGTAAAATAATAAATTATACATAATATAAAACTGTTTTTAAATTAATTATTGTGTTAGTTATTATTTACTAGCATTTACGTGCTGTGTAGTTTATTTGTATAGTTGTTTTTGTTCGCGATTTCGTTCGTGTGGTAAGCGGGATGGGCATCAAGGATAGCCTATGTCCGATCCCAAAATGCAACCTATATCTTTGCCAATTTTAATCGAAATCTGTTTAGTGGTTTAAGCGTGAAAACGTAACAAACAGAGTACTTAATTTACTTTTAATATAGTATCAATTATAATTCCTTCGTTCGTTAATAAAATTTGTAGTGTGGTATCGTACTAATATTACATACGCGAAGTTTGTCAGGATGTATGGATGTCTGGATATATAGATGTTTGTTACTCTTTCACGCAAAAACTATTGAATTAATTTTAATGAAACTTTACAATAATATAGCTTATATGTCAGAATAATACATAGTCCACTTTTTATCCCTATAATCCCTAAAAAGATACGGTTCCCTTGAGATAGATTTGTTTTTGTTTTTCTAGAGGCGTACTCGAGCGAATAGAGGGTGAGCTGTTAGTTAGGCTATAAAACGCAAAAAGATTTTTCCAAATGTAACTAGTAATTCTAGATATTTCTAACAAAACAAAAGATTTCTCAGATTTATATAGTAAAATAGATTAGCAAAGATAAAAGAAGAAATGAATTAATCTTCAAAATCTTGTGTACAAATATAATACCATGTACATAAGTATATACGAGTGTATAGTAATATTGTACCTTCATAACACTCTTTGACTCCATCCACATTATAGTGCCGATAACAGTTCATTCTCGGCCTGATATCGGTTTGGTAATTTTTTTTAAACTAAAAAACAATAAGTGCATTCAATCAAGAGATAAGTAAGGAGCAATAAGCAAGGGTTAATTTCAGATCAAACAAAGTAAGCCGCAACGTTTCTTGTATAAAAATACTTTACCAGACCAATAACTGTTCTTTAAACGCCAATCAAGTTATATTATTCCCACATTCATATTGCTATTATATATGCAAAATTTACGGCTGGGGTTTCCACGCTTAATCTGCAGAACCGACTTAGATGTGATTTGGTGTGGAAATAGTTTGAGATCCTGGGAAGGATACAGGATAGTGCTTTCCCCGGAAATCATACCTTAAGATGGTGAAAAGGGGGGTAAAAGTTCGTATGGGGAATCAATCGTGTCTTAAGTAACGGATATAAAGCTCATCATACCTATGTATAGTCTATTTATTACATACTAATTTCTAACAATTAAAACGTACCAGGGACGATACCCGATCGAAGCGAAGGGTGAGTCGTTAGTATTTAACAAAACATTTGAATTCCACGACTAAACGACCACCAAATGCTATCTAATTCAGCCTTAACATGAAGTTTAAGACTCTACTTCATTAAAATCACGCTTCTAAAATGAAACCACTTAGGATTAACGTTTGTAAGACAGCTTTTCTTGACGGATTTGTAGCTTATATTTCTAAAAGTGTCAAGAAAAAGTATAATAGTTTATAAAATAGTAAGTAAGGAGAGTATATGTTCAATCTATACATATAATAAAATTGTAACTAAGCCGAATCTGTACATTAGATATTTTTTAGAAAATCTTATTGAAATAAACATTATTATCGAGACAGAGGCTGAATCTGTCTGTCTTTCTGTTATCGCATCACAGAAAACCCACTGGAGGGATTTTGATGAAATTTAGTACGGTGATAGCTGGTTATTCGGGTCAACATATAGAATACTTTTTACCGCAAGAAAATGTCTCATTTCTGAGAAAAAATACTATGCAATGTAAGAGTATACTAATATGTAAAGCCTAAGAATTTATTAGTTTGGATGATGATATATTTTTTTTTTTTATTAGAAATGGGCTCACTCTTGACCTTTATCTTAGCTCGAAGGCACAGATAAGGTCTACGATCTAGCGAGTTTGCCCAGGAGAAGTCTGTTAACACGCACCTTAAATAGGTTCAGTTTATACGCACTCGGAAAACCAGACGCAGGCAGCGCATTCCACATCTTGGCTGTGCGCATTATAAAAGATGACGAATAGCGCTTAGTGCGAGTGGTCGGAATGTCAACCAAGAAAGGATGGTATCCTGCAGTACGTCTGCTGTTCTTTATTTTATTTACCTGAAAGGAGGACATTCACTTATAAAACTCATAATAATAATATTTTGGCGCTTATTTCGTAACAAAAACATTTACTGTTATATCTTCGTATAACAAAAATTACCATACTATTATTATGTTAAAAAAAATTAAACATAACAAAAAAATATACTTTGTTTTTGCTCCATACGTGAAACATAATATGAACATCATCAAAAAATCAATTTTGACATTACATCACATAAATATTGGCATTCTAAGAAATACATATAGCAATTTTCCTCACAAAAAAAAATTGGATAAAGTTCTCAGGAAAGCCGACTCTATAAAGATGTTGCTGTTTATTTTATCCAGTAGAAAGAAGTAACGGCGTCGGTGCCCATTTATTTTAGATTTATTTTTCACAAGGGCTGGTTCATTTTGGTTGGCCATCGCCACGCTCCCTTGGACCGTATAATTTAGGAAATAGAGTAAGTTCGTTCATAAAGCCATAATCGATATCAGTGTAGTTACCGTCAAACCCAAGAAGAAAACAAATAATATGAATCATCATAGATTGAATTTGGCTTGTTATTCGTACTTGGTCTTAGAGTTGGAATCAATCTGTACCGGAGTTATGTATGATATATATTTATATTAGCTTTATTTAATACAAATACTAGCGATTGCCCGCAACTTCGCTCACGTAGTTTATTTATATATTGCTATGTTCCTAAGGGTTGTTGCATGATATTAAGGAAATAGCCCATGTTTTATTATATTAGGGTCTAAAATACTAAAATGCCTTAAAATGTCGTAATGTCAGGAATTAGTGTTTAAACAATAAAAAACAAAAATCTTTTTATTATTAGTGTAGAGATTGGTATAGATTATTCTTAATTATTCAAACGATTAAGTCTATCTGTCTTTTTGTCACATTGTTATAAAACTTTTGAACCGTTCTCGATTTGTACAAAGGAAGTTTTCATTCTGAAAAAGTTTACTTTCTTTTGAATAGAAAAAAATGAATGTAGTATAAAAATTATACGACAGCTATGTAATTATATGAAAATTACTTGCTGATAAATTTTACTTTGAATACTTGAATTGTTGTAATTTTGACAATTTCATATTCCCGATAAAATAAAAGGGAGCAAGGAGCGAATGGGACTTTATACGAAAAATCCACTTTCTTAATATGACGTGATTAACATGCCCTCCTTTATTTCTTTCAATTTAACACAGATAAAATCACGTATTTTGCTGAGTCTAAAAAGTTTGTCTCTGGTTTTTTTCTGCTTTAAAAAATAAGTAAATTTTCATTTAGATTTTGAATTTCAAAGACATTTGAAAGGACGTTACCCTTACAGTACATATATTAAGGTTAATGCCTACTAATAGTACTTCTAGGCTACCTCTACACTAATGAGAACTCACAATTAACCGGCTTAGCTGCTTATCTGAGGTTTGACAATTTAATGCATAGGTTAGTAAATTGTCCATTATGAGTATGTTGGGTTAGGATCGGATTATACAGATACGTGAGATAAGTAATAAGATATTCTTCAAATTAAACGATGTAAGTCGTTATATTGTTGTTATATATATATATATATATATATATATATATATATATATATATATATAATCACACGCGCTTTTCTTTTAGGGTACATAAAAATCACACAGTTTGTGTGTACATATTATATATTTTTAAATAATTTTATTTACCTTTATTTGGAATCAATAATATTAATTTATTCAAAATACTCTGTAAGCCTATTACTGATTCATAGCACTTTAAAATGTACATAATATGTATAGGTTTGAAACTACGTTAGTGGTTCTAGGTGAATATTTTATAGCTAGTCATTAGGTCCAAACTAGTCTAATGCCTCAAGGTATTGCCTATCTAATTTATTAAATTTCATATAATAATTAGTAATAGGTAATTATACAATGAACGCGAAAGTTTGTAAGAATGTATGTATGGATGTATGTTTGTTACTCTTTCACGCCAGAACGTGCTGAACAGATGAAATTTGGTACGGAGATAGATTATAGTTTGGAATAACACATAGGCTACTTTTTATCCCGGAAAAATATACGTTTCCCGAGGGATACATTTGTCGATTCATAACAAGAATCAAGGTACAACGATAGTCTATACATATAATAAAATTCTAACTAAGCCGAATCTGTACATTAAATATTTTTTGGAAAATCTTATTGCAATATACATTATTATCGATACAGAGGACAAATCTATAGTTTTTAGAATTTTTGTCTGTCTGTCTGTCTGTTACCGCATCACGGAAAAACCATTGGAGGGATTTTGATGAAATTTGGTATGAAGGTAGCTGGTTATCCGGGTCAACATATAGGATACTTTTTATCGCGGGAAAATATCTCATTTCTGAGAAAAATACAAAAACTGCAATGTAAGAGTATACTAATATGTAAAACCTATGAATTTGGTTTTTGGTCATCTGAACGCGGGCGGAGCCGCGGGCAATGCTAGTATTTTATAAAGTCTAACGATTATAAATATACCTATACAACATTAGTAAATTATTTCGCTAACGAGTAGCAGCGCCACATATGACCACACTTATTATTTTTCATAGCATTACGTACATTATAAATGTGAAAGTGTGTTTGTTTGTTCTTTTTTCACGTTGAAACAGAGTGACGGATTGTCATGATTTTTTGTGTGGAGATAGTTGGAGGGCTGGAGAGTGACATATTTTTACCGCGGAAGATTATCTCATTCCCACAGGAAAACACGTTATAATAATAACTACAACAACTCATCATACCTACGTATAATATATACAGTCAAAACTATTCCAT